TTTAAAATAGCGTGGTCAGAGGAGTCCTCACTAAGACAGTTGAGTCCACACTAAGACAGTTGAGCCATGATCAGAATGAGGGAAAGCATTAATGTTGATAACTAGGGAATAACTCTCCAGGCAAAGGGAGCTGCAAGTCCAAAGCCCCAAAGTGGAAACTCATTGGTGTGTTTGAGGGACTGCATGAGAAAGCAGTTAATGAGTGGTGGCAACCAAAATCAGAGAGGCGGGAGGCTCTGAGTACCATGAGAACTTTAGAGGGATGTTGATGGCTTGAACTAGGGTAGTGTGGCAGTGCAGCTAGTGAGAAGTGATTGGATTCTCAGTCTTGATAAAGTAGGTGTGTGTTATGAACAAGGAACAAATGACTCCAAAAATTTTTAGGCAAGCAACTGTAAGGTTGGAGTTGCAATTACTGAGAGGATATGGAGTGAGATCAGTTCAGTTTTGGAAAAGTTGTTTGAGATCCCTGCTAATACATGTGGTATTAAATACTAGCATTTCCCACACCTGAGAAATGAAGAGACAAGGCACCTCCAGAACACTGGAAGAAAGGTCCAGGAGAGGATGAGCAGAAAGGAACTGCAGGATCTGGAGCCTCTGCTCCGTCATCAGCATATGCTTCCCCTCTGTTGTCTATATTTATTGCTTTATTGGCACCCAAATCTTCCCGTGTGTTCTGCCCCCTCAGAAACATAAACAGAAGCCATCCTGCACAGTGGTGGAAAGAACAGACCTAAATTTAAAATTAGGCTCTGCTAACACTAGCTGCATGACCTCGAGCAAGTCACAATGCAAGTCTGACCTATAAAGTGGGGATACCTCCACCTACCTTACAGAGTTTATACATCTCAGTGGTAATTCCATAACCAGCTTATTGTTTAGTTTTAGTGTTGTCTTTAAAAGGGAGAGGAAAGGAAATTAGCGTTGCTCATTCTCTCCCAGTGCCACTTGCCTCCCATCTTTGCTCCCTGACATCTTTGTCTCCTTTATAGGACTCACACACAAACGTCACACATTTTCCTTTCCCTTCCATCCTCCATTCCTTCCCTCCACAAATTCCACACTTTCTCCTTTTACTTCTTTCCTTCTGTTCTGATTGGCCATCCTATTTCAAGATGGGATGCATTCCTAAAGGACAAACAGCCACAAACCCAAGCTCCAAGTTTCTCACTTATGTTTACTACCAATCAGTCTGGGAACTTTTCTTCTTTTTAACAGAAAACCAGGAAAAGGACAGAGGACTCCCCAATATATGTAAAGCATATTTGTGGAGAAGAGGCTGAATCATCCAGACTTTCCTCCATTGTAAAGTTTTCTCTGTATAGATTTTAGTTATAGATCTTGATTTAACTAGGAATGGTACTAAAGCAAACCAAAATATACATAAATCCATGGTAATCCCTTGCCATAATTATGACTGACACAATATTCTAATTGTGTATAAAGGATTAGAATAAAGAAATGATCTAACCTAGCCAAATGTTTCAACTTGTAAAACTAAGGGACAACTATAAGAATGGAATAATTTGTTCTTTGCCCATGGGTAGATGAACACCATCCATGGAGTTAGGAAATTCATGAACAGCTCGGTCAGTGAATCAAGCTGAAATTCAAGTGTACAACTTCAAAGACTGGTAGAAGTGAACCTGCCTATTCCAACACCTTTTGATGGAATTCAAACTATTCAAGACTCATTAAAAACTTCCAAAATTGCTTATAACAGCAATAATCCTTATCTTGATTTGCAAACTCTATTCTATCTTTTAAAGCATTTGTTCATTATCTGTGAATAGTCACAATGCCAAGCCTAATGTAGTTATGCCTAGAATTCAGAATTTACACCCTAAAGCTGCATCTCAGGACAAAGCATATGGGGACTGGGATGATACATAAAATTTTAAGACACAACTTGCTTTTTAAAGTTATTTAAAGTTACCTTCCGGCTTTGGGAAAGGTGTAACTGGCCATATTTATTATTTACTTTCTGACAAGGACTGGTCTAAGTCACATATTAACTACCTTCGTAACAACTATATTAAGTACAAATATCTCTTACAAATAAGCAAACTGAGATCACACAGCGAGTAATTTGTCCAAGGTCACATGGCAAGTAATCGCTGGAGGGCAAAGCAAGGACAACACATGCAGGAAAGAACTAGCAGGTCCTGTGGCAGCAACTAGGAATTTTTTGGTGACACCCTTCCATATGTTGTTGCAGTTGCATACACTCAAAAAATCAGTTATGTGTCCATGTTCTTTTTTCTAACTCCAAAGTGGCATTATTTTAACAGTGTTTTCTAAAACCTACCAGTTACTTGGGCATTTTTATTCCTGAAAACTATTCCCATTAGAAGACATATTAACAATATGAAACACAGGGAGGAATGAGATAGTCCTCCATCTAATTTATTTGTGCTTTCACACGAGAGAGGTTACATGGTGAATGGCAGAAGCATGAACTGCCAAGAGATTTTGAATTCTGATTCCTCCAGCTGAGTCTTTAAAAATGTCCAGGTGAGATACTTCCAATCCTGATGCTGAAGAAGGGAGAATGTGTTTGTTAGGAATTTCTGCACCCCAACTGTAGCTAAGATCTCTGGAGCCATGATTAAAGAACTCTTCTGCCTTGACCCTGCTTTACATATGTATACCCCATTCAGGTCGTTACAGATACCTCAGGTATTTCATATGAAGCGTTTCATGTAATTAAAAGTACTTAAAATGCACTCAAAATAGGATATTTTATTAATTGGGCAGAGCAATCCCACCTTACCCAGCTCACTAATTTATTAACAAAATCAAGCTAGAATGAGAGTATAGAACCTAATATTCAAACAGATGAAGATTCCTAGTTTAGTCACTTGCTATGCAGTACGTAACAATGAACCAGTTAATCCATCAGTTTCCTTATCTGTAAAAGGAGAGGAATGATTGCATGTCAATAGACTGTTGTAAGAATTAAGTGATATTTCATGTATATATGTGTATGCATATAAAATGTAACTTTTCCTATAAATACTAAAAGACTTTAATTTATTTCAAAGAATAAAAAGCACAAATGCCAAAATTAACACCTGTTATTTCTGGATGTTGGGTATGTGTATGTTTATAGTTTTCTGTATTTCTTTAAATTTTTCAAAGTAAATTAAAATATTGAACTTATCTACTTTTAATACAGAATCACACATGTAAGGAAATCATTTTAAGCAGTGAATCTTTATCAAATGGACCACATGTTTTCACAACAAAATCTTAGAACTATGATGTACATAAACAAAATCTTAGAACAATGATGTACATAAACAGAAAGGTCAGAGATGGAAGAGATCTCTGAAGTCTAATCTTATTTTCTAGTCTAGGAAACTGTTTGAATGGCTTTTTAAAGTTATATCCACCTAGTTAATGCCAACCCCTGATTCTGGCTCCTGAAGTGGTCTTTAGTAAGTGTAACATTTGAAAAATGATTTTCTAATTTTTTTATTTCAAAGTCCAATTTTATGGCAAAATTTTACAATGCAAACTTATGCTATTTGATTTCCTGCACTCAGCTGAGTGGTTTTGTCAGAACACTGGCAAGCTTGCCTTCATGAATTATATATACTGACTTCCAAGAACTAAAAATTAAAATTTAACAGGCACAAAAATCAGTTAGGCTGCTTGAGAGAGTTCTTACCATTTGGTGTGAATCCAAAAGGTGTAAAGAGCATCAACTACTTATTACCTTTTGTCATAAGTATGTATAGCACATGGAAAATTAAGAATTTCTTCAATTTGAAGAAATAAATCAGTGTTATAAAACATTATTTAAAAGTTTATCTTTGAAAAAGGATTCAGACTTGTATATTAAAAATTATATACTTGTAGATGAAAAAGAGGTTCTGTAATAAATCTGACAAGTCCAATGCTCATCAAAAATTCCCAACCAGGCAGGTCATGGTGGGTAGTCATGTACAAGGCATATAACTTCTCTAGTAAAAGGTTTATCTTTGACTTAAGCACTTAAGTTAACAAACCCACCTTCATATAATTTTCCTTATGTTCTTTCCTTAATTCTAAATATATAAAAGAAATTGCAAAGCTGTCATTCTTGGAGCATTTGAGATCTTGTTTCCTGGCATGTTGTCAGTTTGGCTCAAATAAACTTATATATAATTCTCTTCGGGTTTGTATGTTCCTTATGTTGACATACTTAAGTGTCCGAATTGCGTACTAATGATTAAAGATTATTCTTCGAAAATTTTCATAAAAGAAGAATTCTAAACTAGGGGAATAATCAATTGACTTGGCTAGTGTTATGCCCAGTATTATCAGCTAATTTTACTTTACTAATAAAAATGTCAATTAAAAAAAAGTGCTAATATTTAAGGGCACAATTTGAAATAATTTGGTGTTGTGTGGTATTGTATTTTCTACTTCTAGACAAATCGGCCTTCAGCTAAAGGACTGGGAAACAAGCAATCAGCACAGCACCCAAAATAGTTGAAAACAGTAACATAAAACTGCTGAATGTAGTTTTGTACAGCTTAAAATTAACAGCACTAATTACATCAAACAGGTATATTATAGAAAGAACACACTTGGTTTAATACCTTATAAAATATGTACAGAACTTGAACATTCCTGTAAGATACATTTCAAGTCACAAGTAAATTATACATGTAATTGGATATTCTGATATAATGAAATAGCCTAGTTTTTTTTTAAAAAAGCGTGTAAACCATAAAAGAGTAAAAAAGTATTTTAAAATATACAAGAAAATTCTAACCAATAGGTTTAAATTTTGATTTTTAAAAAGCAAATATATATTGATAATCTTTAAATTTCAATTTGTTGCTTTTACATGATCTTTATTACTGAGATAACATAAAACGATAAAAAGCTCTTTTAATCATTTGTATACAGAAAAAAAATCTTTAGGGAGTTTGGTAAAATGCAATATCCATAGTAGTTCAAATATGAAAGGCCAGGAACTTAATTAATGAAGTCATAAAACAGACTTAACCAAAACTGCAAGTTAGAAAACAAGCAGCTTCATGTCATTGAGGGACCCAGTTTCCTTATCTGGGAAAAAAAAAAAAAAAAAAAGCTTATAAGTAACAGTTATCTGAAGGGAGAATTCTGGGAGGATTAAGTGAGATCACTGACTGGAACTAATGAAGCACTAAGCCCTATCTGCCTAAGGTGTGAAAGGTCACAGCACAATCCACTCAAGGACCTTCCTTAAAGGTTTAAAAACCTCAATTTTTAATCAGGAACCAATGTTTAAAGCATAAAATCCTTAATTGGAGTTTTCATCTCAGTTGATTATCAAAAGCTATTTATAAAATGTTTCAAATACTGATGATAATAAACTGATGATATTAAAGCTACCAAAACTTTGTAATGATCACAAAGGTCTGGCCTCCCGGGTTAGGGTCCAAAGTCATTTTGCCTTCTGAGAACATTGCAGAGATGTCAGATACTTCTTAATCTCTCAATGTGGCATCTGCCTTCTACGTTTTCTGTCTATCATAATCTCCAACCATCTTCTTGATGTGTGACAATTTACTCTTCAACTGCTTGCAGTAATTCCTCTTATTTTTGTAATCTGCAGACTAAAAAGAAAAAAAAAACAGGTAAACTTAACAAAATAAAAAGAGTTATGTGTTAGCTGCTGGGAAGGCAGAGGTGAATGAAAAAAAAAAAAGTCATAGCACTGTTGGGCATGTTAAATGAAGTAACATGCATAAAGCACCTGGTAGTATCTCAAACCAGAAAAGCAACTGATTCTCTTTGCTCAATCATATCTTCGAACCTGAGTTTTAGAAAGGATACACTAATTTCTAATAATTTGTAAAGTGACCAAGAAAATTTACTAATCTTTTTGCTAACACATCATCTAAAAAAATCAGTAAAACAAAGTGGTGATATAATTTCACTTGGAAACGGGGACCTGAACATATGGGGAATGAGACAGGAAACTTTACTATATACGCTTTGAAACTTTTGCATTTAAAATCATGATGTTTTGTAATTTTTTTCTTAAAAACAAAAAATATTTTAAGTCAAGAAAGACTGATAACGGCAAGTGCTGGTAAGGATATGGAGCATGAGGAATTCACACTGCTTGGTGGGAATGTAAATGGGCACAGACCAGGAAAGCTGTTTGACAGTACCTACCCAAAGCTGAACACACATTTACCCAATAAGTCTGCTATTTCATGCCTAAGTATGTACCTAACAAATGTGTATACAAAATTCAGCAAGCTACACTTTATCTTAATAGGAGCCCTTGGCCTCACAGCATGCTAGGAACTAGTAACTTATGGTTTGTATACTTTTCTGTATGTATATTTCAACCATAAAAAAGTTTTTAAAAATCAGTATTGGCTGTAGCTGCAAACAACTGAAATTAAGGTCCTAACTTCTCAGTAATAGTTTGTCTTCCAGTTATTGGGTCTTTTGTCTTTAATCAGTGCATGTGAGACAAGCTATTCATAATCATTCTAAAGGTTAAATGAAAAACACATAAAAATTCTTCCTAAAAGAATCATACAGTTAGGATACTTACTCCCTTAACTTGCTTCAGTCTATTGTATTCATCAGCAGCAGCCTATTAATAAGAAACACAAAAGAATATGTTTAACGGGGCATTTTCTCTTTCAAAAATAACATATTGATACTTTATTTTGAAGCTAAAACTTCCAAAAATACAGGAAATTAAAATAACGAAGTCTTAAAGCTCTTAAAACTATTATGGTCAGCAGGAGGCCTGAAGAAATCCAGTGAAGAGAAACTGATGACATAATTCTTACATTCCATTTGCATAGGCAGGTAACTATTTTTATTTGTTCTGCTGCCTCTCATCTCTCAAGTCCAAGTGCCACGCTGACCCCAAGGGGTCTTTTGTAAAGCACAGCTTTGATCAGGTTATAGTCCATCATAAAACTTGTCAGACTTCCCCGTAAACTCCTCTACTAATCTAACTTCCAGTCTTAGCATTCATCATTTGTAATTCCTTTAAAAAAAGTTAAGTACCTTAATGCTTCCAGATTTCTATCACGATCTCCTTATGGCTGTATGTATGTGCCCCTCCCCAATTTTGTCTGGAGAATCTGTAATGTTACCTCTCAGTGAAGCCTCTCCTAGACTCTTCAGGCCTTCAGACCTTAATTCCTTCTCTGAGTAGTTATAGTACTTTCTACACATAATGTGAATATGGCATTAGTCATACTGTCTAAGTTGTTTAGATGTCAGTTTCTCTCTCAGAATATGAGATCTTTGAGGGCTGACACAGGATTTCATTTATCTTTCTAACCTCAGAACTTCCACATCATTAAGGACACAATAATGGTCAATAAATGTTCACTGAATTGAAAATGTTCTATGACAACACCAAACAAAAGCCATAAAAGAAAATAATAGTTAAATCAAACTATATAAGCAGCAAATACTTCAAATCTGAAAAGCAGATCACCCCAATGAAAAATGGCAAAGGGTACTTCATGAAGTGAATATAAAGTTCTAATACATACATAATGTGATTTTTAAAAGTTTATACTAATAGCTAAGACACAAGGCAGTAATTTTTCGGGCACTAAGTATTAGTGAGATGTGGGTCAGATGAGTCCTCTAGAGCATCAATAGTGGAAATGCAGTTGATATAATCTTTCCAGAGGGGAGTTTTACAAGAAAAATTTAAATGTATATAACCTCTCACTCATTCAGCAATTTCACATTCTGGAATTTGTTTTAGCTAGATAAGCAGACAAGTGCACAAAGATGGAGAGGTTCACCAGCATACTCTTGGTACTACTAGGGGTGGTGTGTGAGACAAGAAATAAACATACCTCAAGTCTGTTCACAGAGTAAATTATGGCAAAGCATAAAATTGCAAATTGTGTAGCTATTTTTAACACATAAAAATATTTTTTTCAGTAAGTAGATCTTTATTATTAACATGAAACAATAACCATAAGCTACTGTTGAGTAAAAAAGCAGGACATAAGCAGTGCCAGAAAACATTTAAAAAGAAAACCTCCCACAATAATGGGGTATATCAAAGAGACAAAATGAAAGAGTTCTCAATGGTCAAAGATATAACAAATTGAACAACAAAATAGAGTATTTAGAAGTAATTACAGGTCGAAGTATAAAATAGATATCTGTAAGTCCATACTGATATAAATGATTGACTAAATAAATAAATGGGAAGAAGTGACACATTTACCATGCAGAAGAATTCCAAATAATTTGTGTAGTACACCGCCTTTAGAGAGCTGGAGCATAATTCCCCATTCTTTCAGTGTGATCTATGCATAGTGACTTCCTTCCATAGAGTACAGTATGGAAAGGGAGATTCAAAAGAAAGAGTAACTTTACATGGACAAACACTACCTCAGCCAGGGGATCAAGGGGAAAAGAACCCAGACCATAAACTATTTTTGAGTAAAAAAAAGCAGGAAAGATATAAGTAAAACACACGATTTTTTATCAAAGACTGTGAGTCTAAGTGTACTTTTCACACAGGGGATATTTTAACAACTAATATTTTGGTAACACCCAGGTGGTAGAATTTAAGGCAATTTATTTTTGTTTGCAATTCTAGATTGTTTGAACTTTTTACAGAAAAAATGAACCATGTGTATAAATAGAAAAAGTAATAAAGCTATTTTCTTTTAAATAGGAAGAGATATATGTACAGAGATTGCCTTGTAATTCTTAACTGCGTTAGTACACGCTTCAATTTGGAAGGGCTTTCATCCAAGACTCAATTTCAATTATTCCTCAATGAAATTATAGTTTGATAATTACTAGCAAAATCTGTATCAATGTTGGTATAAAGGATACTGTATCTCCATAGATCGAATAAAATTACATTTAATATAAAATTATCAAGTTTTAATTTACCATGTACTCTTCACTTTCTTCTCTATAGTCATCCAGTTCTTTATCCAGACGGGAGAGTTCTTTGTTGATGTCATCAAGTTCTGCTTGTAAGAGCTTGTATTCCTGCAGGCCAGTGTCAAAATTTCTCTTATAGAGCTGTCTTTGTTGATCTGAAGTGATAGGTGGATATTCTCTAAAAGTTGAGTGAAAAAATGATTATTTATGCATCCTTAGCTGACATAAAATCTAGTGTTTCTTCCTCAAAGATAATAAAGCTGATGGGATGTGGAGAATGACATTCTCTTGTTTTCTTTTTGTAGCTTATGGGGAGATGAAAGTGAGATGCAAGTAAGTTCTCTTAAGAGGGATTATACTTTACACATCACCGCTCATGTTCTTTAAAAAACTATGCCTACATAATCTTTAACTTTAGAAATAATGTAGAAAATCTTTTATAAAATTTAAGGTTCAAGTCACAGAAGCTCATTCTGAATATACAACATGACAATGGAATACTTATGTTTAATGTCTTAAAACTGGAATTCTGGAACACAAAGTACACTGTCATCACTGAAGTGGCAGAGCAGCCAACTAGCAGTTGGCTATTTTCTGCTACCACCTATACTATTCAGACTGTTTTGGGGTAATTTTTTTTTGTGGGGGAGAGGTCTTGGTCTTGTTTTTCCTAAGTGGAAATAGCTTACTTTTAGTCCTTTGATTATAAAAGTAGACATTAAATGTACATGTGTAAAAATGCATGCACATTGTACAAGTAATCTGGCAGTGTATTAAACTATGAAAAATACCCTGAAACTCTGTATCACTTTTATCTCTAAATACACGAGCTATCTTTTACATATAAAGGTAATGCTATTCACCAATAATCCATCGAGGAATTATTCTGAATTGTTTCACAAAACTAAAGAATTTCATAGCAATATGGAATTTCAAATTTTAGATCTAAGTCAGTCTAATATCTTCATTTATAGAGGGGAGAAATTAAAGGACTTGTTCAAAAGGGAAACAGGAATTCAGGACTTCTTAAAGTTTCCATTTAAATTTTCCATAATAGAAGTTAGGCAAATATTTTACGGATAGATAGCTAACCTAGGCCAAAATCTCTTGGTGGGGAGAGGGTAAGATGCAGTAATGAGAAGCACCAGTAAGTAGGAGATTTCAAACTATGCATGCCCCACCCATTCCTCCTAACATCTTGAGAAACAATGTTTTGATTACCCACCATTCACATCACTAATGTTTCTGATTTGTTTCCCATTCCTCAGAATACTTGGGGATAAAAAGGCTACACATCAAACATGAGTATAGTTGGTGATGGACTGTAACACTGACACACAAAGGAACTTAACCTTAGCAAGAACACTAAATTGTTAGCTCTTGTTTACAGAACTGCTTACCAAAGTCCTTTGGACTAAACCATAAAAGAACCTCTGGTCTCATCGTGAAACTTAACTTAAAAGTCAATTCCAAAGGAAAGCCATAGCACCATAGTTTGGGAATTTTATAATCAGCAAAAAAAGTTCCTCTATACTTGTATTTTATTTATTTGAAAGAACTTTCTTGAGTGACTATTGGTAAAAGTGAGAGCCCTAGTGAAGTTTATCAGCCATTTTGTAGAGGATGTTGAAAGTATTTTTAAGACATGGTTACAGCCAAACATCTCTCTTCCACGTCGATCCTTCCAAGAGTACTAAGAAAAAAACATAACGAAAAACTGTCTCCAGTCCTAGTTGGCAAAGAATGGAATTACACCATCCGCCCCCGTTTAGCAGGCAACGACTCTAAAACCTGGTTGGCCCACGCTAATAACAGATGTTCATGTGGTTCCAGCAAAAGAGGCGACACGGTACCTGATCCAGTCCTCCTCCAGTTCATCACAGGACTCGCCGCCAGTTGTGTAGTCTGTTTCATAGTGGTCTTGCTCTGGTCTCCTTGACTTTCCTGCTCTTTTCTTTGTGGGAGGCCTTTTTGAAGGTGTTTCCAAGTTACCACTGCTGCTGTAGTGAGGCTGCCTGAAGTCATCCACAGGTGAAGTCACTGGAAGCTCCTGAACCACTTCGGGCACCCTAATAAAACAGGAATTATTTTTCTATGATCACTAGGTACACGACAAGCTTTTGCCAGTGCACTATAATCACCAAGGGCAGCAACAATAAGCATTAGGAGGCATCTATGAGTGGGTGCATTTACTCTGGCAGTTCATATGCTCAACAGCGAGCAGACCCCTAGTGTCCTAGTGTTCTGCATTCAGTGTAGCACCAGCTCACATCTTCTAACACACACGAGTAGCGTTAAGGTTCCTACATAAGGGGAGCCCATTTGTAAATCTTCTAAGTAAAATGGAGCTAAGATTTCACTTTAGGAAGTTCAAGCTGTTTTGGAAGACGTGTTTACCTGACCCAGGGACATACTCCACAAAAGGCTGTCAGGGACATAATGGTCATAATTCTTTTCTACAGGTTCTTCCAGTTCCATGGAATGCTGAGTGGGGAAAGGAATGCACAGACATCGCTAGCTTTGGAAGCAGACTCTCAGAGACAAGCTCTTCGTAATATTAAATTTAGGCTCCTATAGATCAATTCTCTTTTCACAATATAATCTCAAAAAACTACAAAAACCAAAAATTTTAGCTAAAAAACTAAAATCCCCAAAACTAAAAAGCTTTATATTGTAAAAATGAAAGAGCTCATTAAGACTTCTTTAAAATTGCTATGTTGATCCTGAAGCCACACGAAATGAATGGAATGGAAGGGTTACCATCACCCTTATTTGCCTAATGCAATTGTTCAATATTGCGTCAGATTTTTAATTGCTTATAATGTTTCTGCCACAAGCTTAAAAACAAAGCGTAACATGGGATAAAATACCAAGAGCTGTGGCAACTGTATACCACTTCTGAGTAACAGAAATGCAAAGCTTAACTTTCTCCCAGAGCAGAGCTGGAGAAGGTCAAGAAGAGAAAGGAAAGGAAGACAAAGAAAATGTCTGAGACTTTTCAATACCAGCCTTGCTATTCAAATCAACGACGACAGACGTCTGTCGATTTTTATTCTTTCAACTTACCACAACTGTAATCTTGAGCTTTATCTACGAGGTTTACTTTTTTTCCATGTGATCCAGAACTGCTTGGTTCTAACTGCTGTCAAAGTCTTAGATTTCTAATCACATTTATTAATTTCCTGTAGACTCCTAAAACTCTGTGTATGTGTGAGTATAAATGGGGGTGGTGGTGGTATTTATTTCTTTCTAAATTTATGCAGGTTAACATGGCTTTGTGTGCTATGTTAATGATACTTCTAAAGGAGGGAAAATGTGACTTTCTCCGTGGGTCAATAATTAAACAAGTTCCTAGATACTCTGCCAAAAGTGCAGGTACTAATGCATGCTTCTTGCTTTGAGGTGACAAACAAAACATTTAGAACACAGTGGGTTTATTTGAGGGGGTGGGGGACAGAGGGAGAGGAAGCTAAAGGGCAAAAGAAATTAGAAAAAAAGAAAACATTAAAGCAGGCTTCCTCCCATAATTTTATTAGACATTGATATTATTAATCTTTACTATTGATTTTCCACCTCCCCTCTTTCCCATGCTCTTTGAAACGCTAAACAGTAACATACCTGATATGGCATAAAAGCTAAAAACAAAATGCTTAGCAAGAAAAATATAAATAAATTTAAGAGACAGGGAATATGTACACTCTCAATAATCTTCAAGCTTACTTTTACATATAATAGGATAAGGTATCTCAAGACTATAATATAATTTGATCCTATTAGATCAAAATCCTCATAACCCACCGTATACTTTCCTCAGCATCCAACTCAGTCTCCTAGGTTAGTTAGCCCCTTTGTAGCTTTTGGATTTATTTTCTATTCATTTGTTTTATTCTCAGGTAAACACCCTCACATGCCTTTGCTGCTCTTATTCTGCCCTGACTCTCAGTATAGTTATTGTGCACTTTCTCCCGCCCCTGTTAGTTTGCAACCTCCATGAGAACATTGACTTGGTATTCCCAGGGCACCTGGCCCGGAACTGTGTGCATGGCAGGTGTTCAAGGTAATTACTAAATTGAAAACACAGCCACAAGAATCCTCTTTTCTGATGACACCCAGTATCAGCGAGGGAAGAAAAACAATGTATGAGCAACATCAGTGTCATGACTGTCAGAATGGTGTCCATTATATACATGATATTTTAGAACTGCCACAGTTTGGGGGTGGAGGGGGGAAATAACTAAGCCTTGCCAAGAAGAGAATTCCATCTTAAAGGCCCGGAGGGTGACAGTGACCCAAAAAAGGCCAATCAGAGTCTTTCCAATAGGTGTTATGTAAGCTTTGGGAAGGTAAATTCTATTTTCTGAACCCTGGACTGGAAGATCAACCTAGCTTGGGGAATGTGCATGACCACACTGTTACAATAGAAGCTGCACTAAGAATAAAGACAACGTAGCAATAAGAGCTCTGATATCTTCTGAGTCCCTGGATCACGCTATGCCTGGGCCTTATATGAACCAGTGAATTCCTACAACTTGCACAATAGTCCTAACAGATTACTCTACCGGCCTATTTGCTACTACCAAACAATGGTCTCATTTGGCACTCTAAGGTTGTCATCTTGCCTTGAAAGATGTCTGCAAGTGTCAACACTCAACTTCCTTGATTTATTAAGATTAATTCACCCTGGGTATAGACAGGATAGAGGGAGTATACCTAACAGAGCTCTCACAAATTTACTAAAAAGGGTGAAAAGTCAACCATCTTCAGCTAAATTTTGCTGTCTCCTAATCCAGGATAAATTCTAACTGCCTTGAAATTCCAAAGTATAGGACATTACAATGAGCAAAAGGAGCCAGACACAAGAGTAATTACCATACGATTCCATTTTATAAGAACCCCAATAACAAGCAGAACTAATAAATGGTTGACAAGCATCAAAATGGAGGAGGGTATCGATGAAGAAAGGGCATGCGACAGCTTTTGGAATGCTTGAAATGTCTCTTTTGGAGTAGTGGAGGTTACTTCGGTGTTCTCATATGTGAAAACTCATCAGGCTATATGTTCAAGATTAGTGCTCTTTACTGCGTGCATGGTATGCTTTTGGGGAAAATAAATCTTAGTCTTGAGATACCTTATCCTTAACATGGACCTCATACATAATGTTCTCATTCTAATTCCTTCTCTATCTACTACAATAGCAAGTAGAAGTCCTTGTGGGTCTAGTAAACTTGTGGGTTACTAGAACCTTCAAAAAAGCCTGAGGAAATGTGATTTAATGTGCATCCCTACCTCGTCTGAGTAGATGCACTCTGAATGCTCCATAGCACTCATACTCTGTCATGGACAACACTTGACAATTTCTATTACTCCTGAGAGGCTACAAGCATCACATCAGGTGCTGTGGGAGATACTGTAGCATTTGTATCCCTCAACACCATTCCACTTCTCCCCTTCTTTTCTTTTTTAAAATTAAGCATCACATTTGCATTTCTGAGACCTTCAAAAAAGTTCTGGGGTATAGATTGGGAGTATAAATTGGTACTTTTGAACACATCTATCAAAATGAAATACTCCATTTTCTTTAGCCCAGCAATGCTGATTTTGATATTTCTTCTTCCAGATACTTTCATGTATGTGCAAAGTGATAGATGTACAAGTTTATTCCCTATAGTAGTTTGTAATTGTAAAACGTTGGGAAAAACCGTGCATCGATATGGGATTAATAAAATAAATTATTGATGGAATATTATGCAGCTATAAAGCAGATCAGCAAACTTTTTGTATACCAATATAAACAATCTCCAAGATACACTGCTAATAATGCATTTAATATGCTAGTATTTTTAAAGGAATAAAAACAATATATACATTTGGCCAGCATATTTATTTAAAAACAAGCTCTGGAAGGATATAAAAGACACCGGTAACAATAGCTGCCTCTAAAGGAGAGGAAGTAGGTACCTTTCGCCCCTTTTAAATTTTACATTATCAATGTATTGCCTTAGTCAAGAAAAAATTAGATTTCTACATTGTTCCAAATGAATTTGTGAAAATATGGAGGATAAGGGACAATGCCAGTCTGTTTCCAAATTCCATTCCAGGATAATAATAAAATCTATTATCTTCAAAGTTAACTGATTCCACAGTTAACTCAGCTGCTGGTGTCATCTAATGGGGTTCCAGGCACTCAAACTGTATACTCAGAGTGGATCTCTATATGACCCGGCCCACAAAATGAGGGTACAGGGTTGGAGATAAAACTTTGAAGCAACAAAAAAAGGTTTCCAGCAGAAAACTTTTACACCTTGAACTTAGAACAATCAAATTAGCTAAAGGGAATGTTTCTTTTTTTAGTCTATAAAGAAATTTGGAGTTCTAGAATTATATATAGCAACACTAATTTATCATCCTTAGGTAAAAATTACATCCAAGTCCTCAGTAACACCTCCAACATCCTTCTCTCACTAGTCATTAGGCTTTAGGGCAAACTAAAACCACAAAGGGGATACCATTTCAATAACTACAATGGCATGTACTCTAGGCCAGAAACTCACTGTGAAGATTTTTACAATATACATAAAACAGAACCTAGAGGCTTTATCAGCAATACGGAGGATTTAGCACAGCAAAGGAGATGTCAGAAATCTTGAATTCGAATGAAGTCTAGTTTAATAAAAATGTATGTGGATAGGATAGCTGAGTTGAATAATAAGCAATCTTCTCTTTCTACTGAGGAAAGAGTAAAAATAGGAAAAATGTAAAATGAAGTCATTTTAACCAAGCTGCTAAATTATTTAACATTATGAAGCTTGAGGTATGAAGAAATGATTCTTTTTCTTGTCTTAACTAGCCTGGAAACTTAAACTTTTGAACTTTCCAGTCTTAAGTCAATACTTAGATAATATACCAGTTCATTGTGGGTCAATGCTTGGATATAACAAATCTGCAGATAATCCTCTGACCACCCACTAAAGGACTCAGGACATGACCAGACCTCCAGGTGCCTATCCTCCAGATAATCCAGACTGCTTGACATCTGACTGATAACTATGCTGGACCAAGGGCTTCTCCAAGGGCTAAGAACACAGGACTGATTATTCTCAAGGATGTGACTTTTACTGTAAGAACTTTCAACTTTTCTTTCTTTCTTTTTTTTTTAACACCTACAGCACCTGGTCTTCCTAGGTGGTCTCCCATCCAAGTACTAACCAGGCCTGACTCTGCTTAGCTTCCGAGATCAGACAAAATCGGGCACATTCAGGATGGCATAGCAGTAGACAAACTTTTCTTCCTTATTTGGAACATTTCTAGGTTTTTGCCTAGCTGTGTTTCCAGTCAGCAAACTCTCAGACCCTTGAGTAAATTTTCATCATTTATTTCTAGCCAAAGCCTCCCAATCTTCATGCTTAGTCAACACTCTTAATAGATCTAATAATAATAGGCAAAAGGAGAGACTGGAAAATGCACTTAGCTATGCTATCAGTCAGCAACATCCTTTCACCTATACCTAAACACAAAGCCAGAAGTAGGAAATAGAACCACATTCCCAGAGCGAAAGAGCCTAACCTATCCTTTATCTATTATATCATCAAGAGAAAAGCATTTTCAGCTTAGAAAGGGAAGAGGACCCCACCAACTCACAGCCCCAGCCTCCTTATCTTCCAAGTAACCCTAGGTGTCTATGTACAATGCAAAGATCAGTCTCCAGCCTTTATGTAAATTGTTGGAAATTTTTTTTAAGGCAAATGATACAACACAGTAACTGGCTTATAAACATGTGCAAATTCATTTTTTAGACTCACTCTATCAGAAGAAAATGCTACTTACGGTGTTGATTTGTAGGAAGACTCTGGATACGACCGCTTGTCATTCACTTTACCATTGGAAGAGTAGGCCGTGGGGCTGTATACCCTCTCCACATAGTCAGAAGGGGGAGGAGGCATGTCTTGTGTGCCGGCAGAAACGTTTTTAACCTAAAGAAACAGCCCCAAGAGACACAGGTATTATTTAACCTGTAATTCAAAGGGAGAAGAAATAAAAGAAAAAAATATAAAATGATCTAATATTTGTTGGGCTCATTAAATACTACTAACCTGTAATGAATGCCTTGTTATTATTAGTGTTAAGAGTCAAATTGGTATTTTTGCAAACACATAAATGGTACTATTAGTTTAACAAGGCCGGAAGGAATTTCAAAGAAAAAAAAAAATCCCAATTACCTGATTCTCATCCTGATGTGACTGGTAAAATAATTACCCATGGTAATTGCTCTTCCCCCGTATTAGGAGGATTAATCTCATTTTATTTAGGCTAGGTCTGTGTTAGGATGAGAATTTTAATTTCTAACAAGTTCTGAGGTAGCTGTTGTTATGAGCACCATACTTGAAATACCACTTTGCTAGGACAAAGTACTTTGGTTCTTAATGCATTCACCCTAAACTGGAATGTTAAAACCACAGAAATTAAGTAGCTCAAACTGATCTCTGCTATAGCTCTTTCATGAGATTTGTTCACTCTCCCTACCATACACAGTCACAACATCGTTGCTTTCCCTCTCTACTTTCCTATTCCAGCCTGAGATAAAAGTGAACTTGTCCTAAGAAGGAATATGTATTAGAAATTATACTTTGCTAACATGAAAAGTTTCCCATAGAACCTTTGGGAGAAAAATTTAAATATAATAAGCATAGCCAATTAGATTCCCAACATTGTTAGAGTTCATGAAATAGATCTAACACTTTAAATTTCACCTAAAAATCTTTACATTATCTATTACTCTACAATTAATAAAAAAAAAATAACTGCTAATCTCAGATAAGTCATTGAATTGTTGTTTCAAAGTAAAGAAATAAAATAAAGTGTGGGGAAAAATTAAAAATAACTCCACAAATTATTTCTGTGAAAAAGAGCGACTTTTCGAAAATAGTGAGGGTGGGACTGGTTTAGCTTGATGATGAGGGCAACGGCGTCCGATTACCTAGGCTTACTCCAGATCTGCCAACTACAAGCTCTAGGGAGCCTCAGTCAGCTCATCTGCAAGAAATAGGGAAGCTACCTACTTTATAAAGTTGTTTTGACAATTAAATGAGATGACAAGGTATTACATTTAGCACAGTGTCTTTAATGAACATAGTAAAAACTCAGAAGATGTTGGATTCTGGAATTAAAACCATTGGATCTAAACAAAGAATTTTTAAAGTATTTGAATGTGACAGCAGACTTTTAATTGGATTATTTTGCTATTATGAATCCTTGCAATTATGTTCGGCATCAATACAGTGTATTTTCCTGCAACGCACACACTTTACGTCTTGTTTTCGGTTAAGCATGGCATTACAAAGACGACTTGCTCCTTTCCTATCACTGCAATATCACATACCAAGGATATTTATTTACCCACCCCTCTAAGTACATAGAGGCCTTTTTGATTGTTTGATATTCCCATGAGTCGGAAAGGAATGGAATCATTTCCTCCTGAAAGTGGAGTTTGGCAGCAACTGGGAAACCAGTAGGTGGGTTGCCAGGGAGTGTGCTTAGATCCCACCACAGGGGGGACGGGTGGGAACCATTCTTAGCTCCCACTGAATTCCTTAGGACTTGACACCATCACCAAGCTGCAAAGGCGAATGTTCTGCCAAGCCAAAGGTCTAATCTTATTCTGGAGACTTCATCGGAGTTTAAAAAGTCTTCCTTTTCTTAAAAACCCACTTAACATTTCTCCAGGTTCTCTCCTCTTCACAACTTTAGCAGAGTTTGCAAAGCTGAAAGATTTCCTATGGACTCTGGCAAACTGGAAACCAAAACCTTGCAAAAAAGGTGCCTGGGTGTCCTTGTAGAGACATGACTGCTTGGAATGGAATGTCCTCCCTCCTTTCTTTACCAGCTAATCCTTAATTAGGCTTCAAGTCTTGGCTCACTACCAAATAGTGGTAGTGCCTCCACTTCCTGAAGGCCTTCCACCTGTGGGTGAGGCACCTACCTGTCTTCCTACCTCCCCAAGCACCTGTGCATACAAACCTCTCACCAAAGCACTCATGCACTGCGGAACAATTGTTTACACACAGTATGATGGCTTGCTGCCATAGCTCTAACTGCAGTAGGTAGTACACTGTTCTTAAAGCCACCACTGTCTGCCTGCTTACAATGTGCCCAATACTGACCTGATAGATCATTTAGTAGGTACAACCTTCCAGGTAAATGGTATTATTCCCTTTTCAGAAATGAGGAAGCTATGGCTCACAGGGCTAGACCACTTTCTCAAGGACCTACATCTAGTAAATGGTAACATGGGATTTACATTAAATATAGGACTCACTCAAAGGCCTCTGCTACAACCCACTGCCTCTCTCTGGGCAGTCTCCTACGTTCCTCTCTGGGTCCCCAAAGCCCAGCACAATACCTGGCACAAATCAGGAATCCAGAGTTTACCGCATAAAGGTTACCTCTATCTATTACCTGCGATTGACTTCTAACATCCAACATCTCATCAAATGAGCTGCTTTAAGGTGACCTTTATCTCTTAGAATCAGCAGGACTAAACTAGTTTGTTCACTGACTTCACCCTCCAGCACAGGTCTTTTGTTACTTAAACCTTTTTTATAGATATGCACAAAAAATCCTGAGGCAGTGCTTGCTTTGGCAGAATATATACTAATACTGGAACAATATAAAGAAGATTACTTATTAGCACAGCCCCTGTAAAGGGATGACATGCACATTTGTGATGACTTCACATTTGTAAAAAAAAAAAAAAATCCCAGATAGACTCAAAGATGAATAAGAAATAGCGTATGTCCTTAAAAAGAGCTTAAGAGTCTAGAGGCAGAGGCAAAACATATTTGTAAAATAAGGAGTAAGGTCATTTTCTTTTCCTTTTTATGCGTCACTTTAAAAAGCTAAAATATTACTTTATCAAACAGTACCAATGCAAAGTAATGATAAAGCTGCTGCTTTGAAAGGACAGTAGAAGAGAGGGGGAAGCCCCAGTGAGGGTGACCTGGTATTAGTAACTTACACACGGAGTCCTCACCCTGTGTCACCTACTATGAGAAAAGGGATTTCTGAGCTTCACTGTTATTTATTACTGATAGGATCTCCAGCCAGCCCACAAAACTGGATGATGTAGCTAATGTTCTTTTAAAAAACACACAAACAAAACCTCCGCTATTTTAATAACTATAACACATAAAGTGTGTTTAAAGATTTAGAACCTGAGAAAAACTAGCCTTCATTCTAAACAGCAAATGGTGAACAATATTCTTCAAGTGACTTGAGAACAGCTCTAAGAAATTAGAGGCAGAAGCGAAAACACAAATTAAGGAAATTTGTCTTCTCCTAAGTTTGAGAGTCAATCATTCCAGAAACCAAATGCTGGAATTGTTGATCTCCAGCAGAGGGGACCCTGGGTGGCTGCTCTAGTGCTCCTACCCCCAGGGCCTTCACAGAGGAGGGCGCTGCAGGCAGCAAAAATCCACACGTCTGAGCCCAAGCCACTTCGCTTATCTGGGATCTGCTTGAGGAGTTCCTCTTCTTAGTGGCACCCACGCCCCATATGTAGAACATAAGACAGCAGGAGAAAAGATGGACATGCTGAGGAGAAATACACCTAAGCAACCAAAGAATGACTCAGATTCACTCTTGAGACTAAATTCAATAAGCACTCACACAGACCTTGCTTAAGAAATACGAATAATTTAGGGCAAGAAAGTCGCAGGAAAAGATTCATATTCCAATCAAGAAAAGAACTAAAGTGTTTCTGAAATGTCAAAATGAAATGAGATTTCTGGTCAAGATGGAGAAATAAAATATTGTATGCCAACTGTAATTGAAATTTTTTTAAATTATTATAAAAAATGAAATGAATTCAAGTGAAATAATTTCAAAAATTCTTCACAGGGGGTAATTATGAGGATAAAATTTTATTCAAAATTGAATTACACTCAGAAGTGTTCTGCTTATGTCACTTGTGAAAAAAACTTTTGTAACATCTAACACTCCTTTGAGAGTTAATGAAAACATCCTAAATCCCTGTGGGGTGCCAAAAGGAGAATAAAGAGGGTGGCTCTAGAGCAGCTCTCCTTCAGCATCTGTCATCATTGTGCCTTCCTCACCTGGGACCAAGATGGATCTACATAATCCTGTGTGTGAATGCTACTGACTCATGAGCAGCCTCCTACCCTGACCCCTGTAAGTCAGAGATGGAATAAAAAGGTCAAACATGTTTTAAGTCCCTTCGAAAGAAAATCTCTCCCCCAAAACAAAGTTTGGAGAAAACGCTTCTCTCCATGCAAAACGATTTCATATGTTATTTGGAATTAAGACAAGCAAAAAGGAGTAATGACAGCCATTCCCTATTTTGGTCCTTT